CTTTCCTAAAAGAATAGCCTAAAAGTGCTCTTCCTTCTCTTGGTGGTGCATGCACATGACAACCCTAATCTCCCTTTTGGTCCCTCTGTAACCCATTGAACATTATGGCCAGGAAATGTCTGCTCTCTTCAGCTTAGCTTCACCTCATCTGCTAGCTTCTCGTCTCCTCTAATTCTTTTCCTCTTATTTCATTGTTTACCTTTCAGCTCCTTTTATCAAATTCTTCTACTTTTCAACTCTTTCACCTATCTCCTTTACTTCTACCACCATTTTTCTATCACAGGATCAAGACCCCATACCTCAACAAATAAACCTTGGACAGCTCTCATAAGTCATGTAGAGCGGCCTAAGCAGATTCACTACCAAAAATACAACAAGCATATGGGCTACTAAGACCAAAAATCAAAACGGGCTTGACTGACTCCATAGATGGTTGTGACATGGAGGCCCAGACAGGTTTTCTGAACAGGGGAAACCAGAACTGGACAAAAAAGAGTGTCGTTCAAAAGCATTTATTGAGGAAGAATCAGGAGAACGGGGCATTGGTTAAAAAGTGGAGTAGAAATTCACGACATTGGATAGAGGCTAAAATCAGTCATCATCCTCAGCACCCATCTACAGCGTGTGAAGCACAACCTTCTGATGATGCAGGCCTTACAGGAGAATAATTTGGCCCTTTATATACACAACTTTAGGATGAAGAAAAGGATCCTAAATAATTAATTAGATAAGCATATTTTTACGAATATATCCTTTTATAAAAGTATTGTAAATATAAAATTTCCAACACTCTCCATCAAATTGGTGAAGAGACATTGTACATGCCCACTTGTTAACAATTATCTGAAGTGCTGGATTGCGATTTTTAGTGAGCATACTGCAAGTTGAGAGTTGATGGGCACATAGAGTGTGCAAATCAAGCCATTGTCTAATTTTTATTTGATAAAATGTTCGTCAATGTTAATGTGCTTGGTCCTACAATGTTATACCGAATTGTAGGCAATGTTGATCTCAGATTTGTTGTCACAATAAAGTATCATCAGACCATCTCACTTAATCGTCAAATCTTCCAAGATAATCTTTAACTATAACAGCTTGCAAATTCCTTGTGCTACTCTCAAAATTTCTGATTTTGCATTTGATCTTGCTACCACATTTTACTTCTTGCTTCTCCATATAGTAAGATTTCCTTCAAAGAAGGTGTAGTACCCTATTATAGATGCTCCATCCACTATTGATCTAATATAGTCAGCATCAATATAGGCTTCCTGTACCAGTCCGATATTAATTTTGAACATGATGCCTTTTCTGGAGTTCCTTCAGGTAATTTTATACTTTGTATACCTCCTGTAGGTGCATCTTTTAAAATTGTACATGAACTGACTTATTACATGTACTACATGAGGAACACTGAACCTTATATGAGACAGATAATTAAGTTTCCGACTAATTTTGATACATCTCCTTATTGATAAGTACATTTTCCTCTGCCAAGCCCAACTTGTGGTTGGGATCTCTTTGTGTGTTTGTAGGCTTACATACTAGCTTGCCTATATCTTTCAAAAGATTCTGATATATTTTTGTCTTTCATGGACACCAAGGTAATAAATGTCGAGGTCATGAGTCTAATCAATTTCCTTTCTGCTGGAGTCATGAAGAAGGAAATGGGCCGTTCACTTTTTAGATTTAGGATTATGTGGACTCAACAGGATATATTTTTCAAACTACTGAAAGAATGGTGGACGGATTTCAATGAGGTTGGTTTGGGTGGGGGGGGGGGGGGAGGGGGGTTGTACAAGGTTATAAGATTGTTGAGTATATTAAGGAGAAGTTCAAGGCGTGGAACAATGTTTTGGAGATGTGAGAGTTAAGAAACAATAGCTTCTTAATCAATTTGATTACTTCGATAAACCAAGGTGTGAAATGTCTCTTCCAGAAGATGAGCGTTCAAGATTATCTGCTAAGCAGAGGAGCTTGAGGATTTTTTTTTGAAGGGAGAGATTAGTTAGTCCTATGTAGAGTTATATGGGCTAAGGATGGTCCTGCTACAACTGAGCTTTTCCATAGTGACAAATGGCAGATAGCGTAAATTATGATAAAGGAGCTAGGAGTGCAAGGTAATGACATCATTTTGGACCTGTCCTCTCTTGAGTTTGAAAAAACTGATTTTTATTAGAAAACTTTATGAGGAAAATATGGTTGCCCATTTATTTAGGGCTTAGATTGGTTCCCACTACAAGAAAGAAAAGCTAGTTGGTTGGAGAGACCATTGAAGGAGGAGAGATTAAAATAGCTGTCTGCTATCTAGCAAAACTAAGGTCAAGGCCTAATTGTCTTTCTCTAGGTTTATTTCAAGCTTGTTGGGATATTAGTGAAGGGGATACCACCTTAATGGTAAAATTGGTACTAGTATAGACTTTGCTTTCTTTCTTTTGTACTAAAAAGATGATTCAGAAAAATTCTTGGTGATACTATTTCCACCATATAAAGTGTTTTTTCTTTGGCAGGCAGCCAATTCTCAATGCATCCCTTGCTGCTAATGAAGTTGCGGAAGATTTAATAAGGCAAAAGAAAATTGATTTTTAAATTTAGTTTTGTGGAAACTTTAATTTTACTTGTTTGCCACCTGTCAAATGACAATTTATTTTGTTTAATATTCCATAATTGCTATTCCTAGTATAAGATAGTTTGTAGTATTTGGGAAGTAGTTGTCATGTCAATTTGAGTAATAAACTCATCCTACTATAATGGAATTAATCGGGGAAGTATGCCAAAGTTGCTTTGAGTACTTCACTCTTGGAGATCTTTAAGTATTATCAAAGTAACAAGGAAAACATGGTAGCAAAGGTACTGGCAAACTTGTACTGGATCAAACATCATGACTTGATTTGCTTGAATTATTCTGCCAAGACTAGGAACCGGCAACCTTCAGTTCAGGTGGCCAGTTGCTTCCTTCTATGTCTACAAGATAGTGGCATGCCTCAGGTTTTGTACCCTTTGATATGGGCTTGAAGTAAAAAAGAAAAAGGAACCTTTGACTAGTCCTTTCTCCTATATAGCAATCATGATCTAACATATTTGGTTGTAATTATCTTCATTTGATTACCATATTTGGTTGTGATTATTTCATTTGATTAATATCTGCTTGCAGGGTATTACCTTCCTGATGCTGTTGTAGCAGCAATCATTGGACTTGTAACCGGTTGGTGTTTTGGCCCTCTAATACCTGTCTGTGGTCATTGGCTAGCCAGGGCATCCATCTTGAAATTCTTTTTGCATCTTTGTGTGCTTGTCTTGGCACTATCATTGCAGTTCTTTCCCTATAGCAGAGATGCACCTAAGAGAGTTGTTTTCCAACATACCTATGTTACTGGAGGTACTAGAATATGCAGTTGATACTCCAATGTTGTTTGGAACTTTATCCATCTAGAAGATGTTTCTGCTCATGATACATTTCAGGAGTGCATGTCATGTATAACATATCAAAGTCATCTTAGTTGGTGATTTAAATTTGGGTTTCACTGTCCTCTGAAGTGACTGTTTTGCTCCCGAGATTGACAGGTGCAAATCAGATTATCGACTCAAGCTATGAATTTGCCGTGGTTGATTCCAACTCTTTGTTGTTTCTTTCCAAGTATGCACCTGAAATGGCAAAGGAATTGCACATTAGTTCAGGAATCTCTTTCCAAACTGCAAATATCTCCCAGAGGGAGAGCTGGTTGGTACGTGGTTTTAAGTTCCAGGCTAAAAGTTTGTTCACTTTCTTTTCTGGAAGAACATATTTCTGCTTGAATCAAACTATTTATCCTTCTAAAAGCTTGTTACTTGTGTACTTGCATGGAGCTAATCCTCTTCTTTCTGCTCCTACTAAGTAAGGAAGTAAACTTCTACCCAAAAGTTTTTTTTATTTACCAACAAGCTGTAGAGTTGCCCTGTAATGCATATATATGAGGCGTTCCCCTTCAAGGATTCCAACCTCTGCCAAAGCTCTGAATTGTTTCCATTATGAGAGATTCCATGGTAACCTACATGTCAATAACAATACTACAACTCTCTCTCTCTCTCTTTCGTACACAAACACGCACATGCGGTGGACACGTGCATTTCCCTCCTTAATATATCATATTTGAGGTTTATGTTGTAATAGGTGGTCCTTGTACTGCATAAGGGGTTCTTGCTTTCTTCAGTGATTTTCAGGCTGTTATCCTTAAAGAACATATAAAACAATATTGTTTTTGTTCAATCCGAGGCTAGTAAGTATGTTTATATGCATGCCAAAAACTAAATTAGATGAAGTTGTCATTAGTTGCAACCAATTGTGAAAATATTTGTCTGAAAATCAGAAAGTTGTGGTTAAACAATTTCTAACACTGTTTCTGTGACAGGCACTTTATCCAGCATCTTTTTTGATCAGAGGTTTGAAGTTTCCTGCTAGAAGTGATGAGATTTCAAAGCGATATTCCTCTTTTCCCTTCTTATTTAATTACAGGCCTCAAGAAATGTCAAGTAATGGAAGTCGAAGAGTTTATTTGGAACTTTCCCTAGGGTGAGTTAAGCTAGAGGCATATTTGACCAATTGGGTGATATTTATTTGCATAAATTTGGTTCGTTGAGTATTAGGATGTATCTAGCACTGATCAAACATGGGATATGGAAGCTTAGGTCACTGAATGTATTATTTTTTCAGCATTTTGCATAAGTGTGATCTTCGATATTTCTTTAGCTAAGTATTAGGTGATGGAAAATCCATGTCCTGGCCTTCTTTAGTTATTATCCAGTTGTTGTTCAAAATTGATCTGTCCAGTGAAGGCTTGGAAAATTGTTCAAACTATGTGAATTCTAGCCACTTCTTTAATTATTCTCCAATTATTGCTCAAACTTGAGCTTTCCCTTGAAGGCACTTAATTTGCTCAGCTGGCATACTTTTAGGTTTTTGTTCTTGTTATAATTTCATACACCTTGAGCATGTTAGAATATAAATGATAAAGTTGAAACATTTTCTATCAGATTAAGTTTTAAAATAATTGGTCACTTAATCAATGGGTTAACAGTTATGGTGATAGAATATAAGCATGTGCTATTTGCAGATTTAACCTATTAATCTACAATATTAAACTCATATGATTTTTTACCAGTGGAATAAACGATTGCCATAAGACATGATTGCTTTGAGTTCTGTGTGGGCCCAAACAATATCGAAAAAAAAGGATTGTATCTTGACTATTTATTACGAATTTTGATTTTGGTAACTCTAATATTTCATGTGTGCAATTTCAATGTAATTGGTAAGAAAGATTGGTTCTCTTTTGGTTTGCTGTATTTATTTCACATGTTTTTGGTTGGAAAAGAATGACCTCTAGAGATTTTTATGAGGCTTTATAGTCTAATGGCCATGGGTTACTTAAATTTTAAGTTGTCTTTCCTTCAGCTCCTTGGAGGAGATTTGGGTTACAGTTCTTAACATTACCGGCCCTTTATCTGGTTGGTCATTTGCAGATAATAGAATTCCAGGTACCTAAGAAGTTACTGCTTCTGTTTGAATTTGGCAAGAATATCCATTATTTCATGTGCTTTAACAAGCCTGGAAATTTTTGCAGCTCCAGAAGCAGCTGATGGTGGCCCACCATCGTATATTTGTAGACTTAGCGGAGGCAGCAACAAGAACTGGACCT